TTTTCCCACAGAGGAAGTGAGTTAGTCTAGTCGAGGCGCTGGTTAACTGTGGCTCTGTGTTTCAGGCACCGGTGACGTGGTGGCCATCATGATTCCCGAGCCGAAGGGTCGTGATCTGGTTCTTCTGATGGAGAGGAACATCTCCGTTCACATGCACATCACCATCGGAACACGCAACCTGCAGAAATACGTCAGCCGCACCTCTGTGGTCTTCGTCTCCATCTCCTTCATCATCCTCATGATCATCTCGCTGGCCTGGCTCGTCTTTTACTACATCCAGCGCTTCAGATACGCCAACGCCAGGGACCGCAACCAGGTACAAACCCGAGAAACCTCGTCTTATGAAATGCTTAAATGAGTTTTGCAGCCACTGTATATGTTAGACACACAATTTTGCTCAATCAATTTTGATCAGAATGATCATTTATGTGAAAATCAAATAAGGCTGAGTGATTAATCTAAATAAAATCGAAATCATGTAATGGCTTAGTGCGATTTAAGACGACCATAAATATTAATATTGTAATTTTACAGAAAAGAATAATTCTTATAATATTTTTTCTTGAATACATTTTTTTTTATTTTACACTGAAATATTACATTAATAATATTTCTTATTTAGTTTTTATATAATAATATTTATATATTTAAGTATTTGTTATTGTTTATAATAATAATAATAACATAATAATAAAAAAATATTAATAATGTTATATTTTAAATACTTAATTTTTTATTGTACAGTGAAATATTACATTAATATTTCACATTTTAGAAATGTATTATTATTATTGTTTATACAAAAACAATACAAATAAAAAATCAAATTATTATTAATTATTTTATTATGTTTTCTTACATATATAGAATTACATATATAATAATAGAATTATTATTAGTATAATTATATACTTTTTTCTTAAATACTAAATTTTTTATTGCACAGTGGAATATTACATTAATAATAATTCAAAGTTTAGTAGTATTTATATTTGTATTATTATTATTTATACAAATAATACAAAATAATAAAATGAAATTTAATAGCCACATTGATTATAAAATTGCAAAAAAACTAAACAAAACGGCCAAATTGTGTAGCCCTACAAACAAGCACAGCCAAAAAAAAAAAGTATTTTAATCTTAGAAAAAAAACAATTGTTCAGCCGTGAGATCAAACCACTTTCTTTCGCCACTGTTGCTTGTTTTTGGTGGTTTGCATGTTTGTGTGTGTTTGAACGCGACCCTAAAACATGATAACAGGCCACAGGAAGTGACTTTCATCACATGCCTGAAGGCAACAGAGCTTTCATTACAGCTCTCAGTCTTTAATTATTCTAACGAGAGACAGATGTACTGTAGGACATCACAGTCTGAAGTCGAAGGAGAAATGCGTTCATTAATAACGTTCTGTTCTCTGATTGGTCAGAGGAGGCTGGGCGACGCTGCCAAAAAAGCCATCAGCCAGTTACAAGTGCGGACCATCAGGAAAGGCGATCAGGTGAACCAATAAACACTCAATATTGCAGTCTTTAAAGCAGTGAGATTGAATTCAACACTCTCTGTTGTGTCTTATGATGTGTGTGCTTTTCTTTAGGAGACGGAGAGTGATTTTGATAACTGTGCCGTGTGTATCGAGGGTTATAAACCAAATGATGTAGTGAGAATCTTACCTTGCAGGTAAACACTCACCTGATGCTACTAACAAGATGTAGCTCGTTACATTAATACGGTTATTTCAATAGTAATACAGTAATATATATATATGCATATATTTTATAATTCATTTATATATTGTATATTTTTTTAATTGTTAAAATCGTTAGATAAGGCTGCATTTATTTGATTAAAAAAACAGTAAAATCAGTAAAATTGTGAAATATTATTACAATTTCAAATAACTGTTTTCTATGTGAATCTCTGTTAAAATGTAATTTATTTCTGTGATGCGCAGCTGAATTTTCAGCATCATTACTCCCGTCTTCAGTGTCACATGATCTTCAGAAATCATTCTAATATGCTGATTTGCTGCTCAAGAAACATTTCTGATTATTATCAGTGTTGAAAACAGTTGTGCTGATATTTTTTAATATATTGAATATTTTTGTGGAAACTGTGATGCATTTAATTTTCATGATTCTTTGATGAATAGAAAGTTTAAAAGAACAGCATTTATTTGAAATGGAATTTTTTTTTAACATTATAAACATCTTTATGTCACTTTTGGTCAATTTAATGCATCCTTGTGGAACAAATGAATTTTTAATAATAAAAAAAAATCACTGATCTCAAACTTTTGAATGGATATATTACATTGCTAATTTAAATAAGCAGTATTTAACAATCTTAATAATTACACATAATCACAAAAAACAACAAAATACATTTTTATATATCAAAGTTGCTAAACACTTTTTTTGCTGCAAAAAGAGGATGTAAAATGGTGTGCAGGTCTTTTTATATCAGTTCATTGGAAGCGTTCAACTGAAAACAGATTTGCAAACATGAGCGAGTATTAGACTGATCAACACGCTTCACTTTCTGCTTCTCGCAGGCATCTGTTTCATAAGGGCTGTGTCGACCCGTGGCTGGTGGACCATCGCACGTGTCCCATGTGTAAGATGAACATCCTCAAAGCTCTCGGCCTCACGGTTGGTGTTTCTCTCTCTCTCCCTCGTCGCTGTACAGAGGTCGTGTGCTGTTCGTGCATGTTTAGTCCTCCTTGAGTTGAAAGAGAAATGAGCTTAAAGCGGTCATAGGATGCCCATTTTCCACAAGTTGATATGATTCTTTAGGGTCTTAATGAAAAGTCTGTAACATAGTTTGGTTAAAATGTCTCAATGGTAGTGTAAAAAACACCTTTTTACCCGGTCAAAAACAGCTCTTTTCAGAGCAAGCCTGTAGCATTTCCCTTTAAATGTTAATGAGCTCTGCTGACCCCGCCCCTCTCTTCCGAGCTGCTCTCAGAGAGACTGTTTACTTTAGCCGCATTCATCGTGAAACTTGCTAATTAGCACATTATTAGGAAAGGCCATTTGCAAAGATTCATTACAAAACATTACACTCACTTTTTCTGTAGATGAGGCTGGATCACGAATGATTCGCGCGAACATAGACGCATT